CACCAAAACTCAGTAAGCTGCTTCTCAGGATTCCTGCCTCAGTGAGCTCAGGCAAGGATGTTTCTTGTACTCTGAACATGTTCCCTTAAGCCCTGAAATATAGAAAACTCTTCCCAAAGCACTATTCATGGGAACAAGGTCTTGTTTGTGACCGCATCTCTCACTCTACCTGGCAAAGTCTAGGCACTCAATAAACGGCACTGAGTCTGAAATTGATAGGAGAAAATTAGAAGAACAACGTTAGCCAGGTCTAGTGGCACAGGCCTCAGACAAGTAGCCAAAGCAGGAAGAGAGTGAGTTCAAGGCCTGCCACGGCTATGGAAGGATATCAGAGCCAGCCTGTGCAACTAAATGAGATCCTGCCTCAACATAAGAAGTAAAGAGGGCTGGGGCTGTGTAGCTCAGTGGTAGAGTCGTCCCTGGCTTATGTGAGGCCCTGGGTTCAGTCCCCAGTACCACAAGAAAGAATTACCATCCAGTAGACTCTGAGTTAGCAGCCTGACTAATTGGCTTACACACAAAGCTGTGAAGTCATCACAAGCTGGCCTGCCCTGGGAAAGATGCTAGAGGATCTCCTCGGCGTTCACTCATTCTCACAGGGTGGAAGGGGTCCCCCTGGTGATGTAGCAGGGTGATTTCACTAGGTAGCCGGAACACTGGGGTTGACATTGCCAGGCATGCTGGCAATTGTGGCCACAGCTTCTGAGTTGTGCCCCTCCTTGTAGCTCAGTTCACACCAACCATGAGCCATCTGCCAGCACCCAGTTTGTACATAGCCCTGCCTGGAGCTGTCCAGCCTACAAGGCACAGGGCTGTTAGTGAAGGAACAGGTTCTCTGCTCTGGATCTGTTCAGCTGCAGTTGGCAGCCTTACTGGCTCAGTGACACTGTGTGTCCCCACGGCACACTGCCTCTCTGACACGATTCCACTGGTGGCAGCCAGAATTGTCTGGCTTCCTGAAAGTCCGTGATGGTGTTACTGTCACATTTGAGACAGCACAGCTTCAGCTGTTACCTGATGTAAATTTTCAATTAGATTGGCTCTCAAGTGGATTCATTTCCACCATGGAGGAGCAGCTGAGGAAACATGTGCACAGCAAAGAAAGACCTTGTGCTCTTAGAGACAGCGTAGGGAGGAAACTGCTAAAATTTGTCTTGCAGCAGATGCGTGAAGGTGCCCTGAAGTGTCACCGCCTAAAGGTGATGAGATACTCTGGGTATGCTTGATTGTCATAGAACACTACAAATATACTTGGGTTTTTATCATCATCTGTGACAGTGTCGTACAAGTCAGTAGGATTTTGAGGGTCCCTTGAAGGAGGTTCAATCAACGACGAGTTTCCCCTTGTGAACTTCCCAGTGAGAACCCGCACGTAATACATATACTTTTTCCCATTGGCATCTGGTCTAGAATATGTATCATTAGCTGAATAGGAAGCATCGACTGCAAAATAGGTTCCCTTCCCATAAAATGTGCCTGTAAAGAGAAAGACATATTAAAGGAATTCAATGTAACATATAAGCCCACTATGTCAACTAATGTAAAAGGAATGATCGGCTAGAATATATGAATATTTCTTTTATCATCATCATCATTGTTATTATAAATTTTCCTCCTCAAAGAGGTTGTCAAGCCCTTGGGGTGAAATTGAAATTTATCATCATTTACTACCACAATGTGAGGACCACAGTGAATGGAGCCCAGGGTGGTTCCGAGTCAGCAGCCCATTTGGGAAATCTGACTGCATCCTTTCTCACCGTTCTTCCCAGCGTAGCTGCGGTTAAATCCGTGGCTGTTGAGGTGTGGAATAGAGCTAGCCTCCGTCCCGTGGAAGAGTTGTTTCTCATTTCTTTCATGGCCATTCTTTCCATCCATGACTGTTTTGTTTGCCTGGTACTTTTTCCAGAGAGCTGGATTCTGGATCCTTTCAATCTACAAATTAATAAAGTATTGAGTTATTCTGGAGATGCCAAGAGCTTTTGCCAAGTGATAGCAAATTACCACCTTTGTCTTTCATTAGCAAATATTCTACTCAAGGAAATTCAGTGCCATGTGACATTGTCCTGTGTTCAAAAAGCATTTGAGGACTGGTAAGACAGCTCAGGAAGAATATGGAGACATGAGTTTGATCCCTAAAGTTGGAAGGAGGACACTGACTCCACAAAGTTACACTCTCACTTCTACATGTGTGAACACCCCGTTCCCTCTACCCCTCCTCCACATACACACACACACACACACACACACACACACACACACACAAACACACAAGGCTGTCTTACTGGCCTGGAGTTAATGCACCGAGTTAGGTTGGCTAGTTAGGTGCCACAGTTTCAGGCTGTCATAAGCTACCTGAGTGGATCTGGAAACAAACTTGGAACTAAGAGAACAAAACAAAATCTTGACTCCTGAGCCACCTCTCAGTCCCATATATGAGTGGGCTTATTCAGGAATATGGGTCATATCACTTATTTAACTATGTAACTTTTCCATTAGAAAACACCTCATCAGCCGACTTACGTTGTCTATGATGAAGCTTTGGCAGGTCTGGTGGAACTTGCTTGCCACCATGATATACTCGGGATCACTGGTTTGCAGACTGACCACAAGCAATTTTCTCTGCTCCATGTCACTCCAATTTGAAGGGATTTCAGCTGCAAAATAGACATTTGAGGGCTCCTGTGTTCATTTCCAGTATGCTTTGACAAACCTGCCTCCCTGTTGTATTGTAGTCTCATAATTCTATGTATTCAAGAAATTCCTTATCTTTCTAAATAGATGTTATTAAATGCATGGAGCATGGACCATTGGTATCAGGATGAGATGGAAAACATGTTTAGAAGAGGAGGGTGATTTAAGGTGAGATAGAACAATATTAGATCTCCTGCCTGAGGCATATGAGACTCATTTCCCAGCATCCTCTCCAGAAGAAGACAAAAGCCATCGATGTACTTAGGTAGGGTTTCCTAGGGATGGAGCCTCTCTGCCTACTCCTGTTTCGGTCTTGCTAAGGTGTGAGAACTGACTACATGCTGTAACTCACCTTCATTTAGTGCACAGCCTCTACTCTGACGTGATTTAACAAATTCATTACTAACTTGTTTTGAACAATCTCTGTCATTTGCACATGCATGAGTTTTTACCACTGGAGGGTTGTAATCTACATGTATTTTCTCATTTGCCTCACTCCATCCTTAAGAGGTAGGTGGGTGGGTGGTAACGTTTGTTTGTGAAAAGCTGCCGAATACCATATATGCTATGTTATTCCTTAGAACGGGAATTGCTTAGAGTCTGAGGGGTTCATTCATACTGGTCCTACAAAAGATGAATATAGTTTGTGGGAAGCCAAGGGGGACTCATGTGGTTTGAAGGCAGGAATGACAGCCTACACAAGACAGCCACTCCCTTCTTGGGGATCAGATCCATGGGGAACTGGTAGGCTGCTTCCTGATCTGGTACCCAGGAACCTTTGGCTCAGAAAAGAGCAGATGGGAATAGAATTGGGCAGAAACAGACAAATCTATGAGTTTGAGCCCAGCCTGAATTACCTTCAAAGTCATCCATGGGGATATACTGAAACACTCTCTCAAAAACAAAGTAAAAGCTTTTCTGGCCAGCAAGGCTACATGGTAAAACACTGTCAAAATGGAAACAAGCTGTGTAGTGGTGTCACATGCCCTTAATCCCAGCACTCGGAGACAGAGGGTAGGTAGGACCTCTATGAGTTTGAGGCCAGTCTGGTCTACAAGAGCTAGTTCCAGGACAGCTAAAGCGGTTACCAGAGAAACCCGTCTCAAAAAACAAAAACAAATAAGCAACAAAAACCCTGCTTTATTTCTAAGACAATGTTAAACTCAGAGTTGAGGCAATGACTGACCCCACCAACATGTAACTTACCTTCATCTTTTAAGACGCGCTGAACTGTGACACTCTGTCCTTGAGGGCTTGTGGCCGTGTTTGCCCTCAAGTTCACTGTGAAGTCCTGATTATTAATTTTGACAACAGTGCTCGTGTGCTTTGCCTTCCGTGCTTCCTCCAACTGAACGGTAGCTATTTTGTCAAAATAGTGTATGACATTGTTGACAATATAGCGCCACTCCACGAATGTGAGGACATAGTCTGCCTGGTTTTCCTTCTCTTTAGCCAATCGGATGCTCTTGATCAGGTTTTCAATCTCATCTCTAGCTTCTATCACATCTCTGCTGATTCCTGCAACTTCAATCAAAGGTGCCTTCTGGTCCAGCTCAATGGCGATATTCAGCCTCTCCTGCAGCTCATTCAGCTTCTTGTACTCCTTCTCACCAAAGTCTCTGACACACTCATCGTCACTGCTATAGGAAAACTGCTCTTGGGTGATCAGATTCTGTATCCAGGAGATCGTGCGTCCCACACTGTCTTCATCTTTGCCACATACCTGGAAAACTGTCTGTTCTATTTTCTTCTCCAAAAACAAAGTGTTCTGTTTGGGGGGCGTGTGCTTTGAAAAGCCAAAAAAGGCTAAAGAGAAAAGGAAAATTAATTTTTCTTTTATTCCCTTCAGCATCAAGGTGAGGAATATGTATTTGATAAAAGCAAACAACTCACAGGAGATCTTAGACAGTAGAGATGGCTGGGGTGGAGCCGGGGAGCCTTCTCTTTCTTTCATGTTGTTATAAAAAACATCCAGGATATGAGGCTGGAAGATAACAACTTTGACTTTCTTCACAGCCCACACTGATGTTTTCTGGATAAATTCTTCAATGGCATCCATTATGGCTTTAGCAACTACATCTGGGTCTTGTTGAGCACTTCCTTTAAAAACATACACACAAAGACAAGGTTAAGATCCACCTGCAAAAGACTGCTATATAAACAAGGAATTCCAGATGTCACAGGAAAGAAAAATGCTTTGTTGATGTCGGAGAATTCTGTACTCTGTCAATTATGTTTTAAATAAATGCTGATTGGCCAGTAACCAGGCAGGAAGTAGAGGTAGGTCAATGAGAACAGGAGAATTCTGGGAAAGAGGAAGCCCATTCCTCCCCAGTCCTGCCCAGACACACAAGAAGGAAGATATTACCTACCCTGCCAAAAAAGGTACTGAGCTTTCTGGTTAACACAGATAAGAATAATGGGTTAATATAAGTTATAAGAATTAATAAGAAGCCTGAGCTAATGGGCCTATCAGTTTATGATTAATGTAGACTCTCTGTGTGATTTTCTTTGGGACCTAGGGACTTGAACTGGGCAGGACAGAAACCCCAACAAGCAGGCCCTCATGTTATTCTTGGTTCCACTTTAATCAATGTATAGTTTTCAAACAATATGTCATCAAACAGTTTTGACATCCTAGACACAGTGGGGAGGTGTTTCTGTTCCATGCTGTTCACAGGTCAACATTCCAGAAAAAGCCCCTGATACCAGTTCTAATTTGTGACATTCACATCTGCCCTTTTCAGCTGACCGTGGCTCTCAGGGTCACTCCCCTCCCATTACAGAGTCCCCGTGACTTTTACACCTTGATTTAGTACTCTCTTCAAAAGATCATAAAAGGCAAAGGTAAAAAGAAGAAAAAAAAGAAAAAATGATAACACATCTTGAAACACCATATCCACAATGATGATAATCATACAGATGGTATGAAAAACATATAGGATGGGGGCAGGATTCTGTTCTTATCTCTGCAGGAAAACACTCATCTTCAAAAAATTCAAGGGACCCTGGATGTTTGAATATTGACAGATAAAAACAATTGACAACCCAATAAGGATCAGCGAGAAAATCAAATAGGTTCTGTAAGTGAAAATATTCAACACAGAATTTTAGATATATATGAATATATTTATAATTATAGAGATGGTTTTGGAGTTGGACTCTGGCTCAGTCCCTCTCTAATTCCCAGCCTGTTGTTAAGAGAAAACCCAGAGTTTCTGTCTCATGTCAAGAACCCATGATATGGGACAGAAGGAAAAAATAATCTATAAAACTTCTTTGCCTTTTTTCATATCTATTTTTATCTTTATCACATCTTTCATTGAATAAATATGTCTGCATATGTCTATACAGATAATGCCTAAGTTTTTCCATAATGAATGATAAATTTCCCTGCAGTAATCTTTAAAGTTTCCAGAAAGATGGGGTCCCACAACAACAACTCCATCTGGTTGCTATGACGTCATGATACTGATATCACTACTGCAAGACCTGTTTTGGGTACCAGTTGCACAAGACGGTTCCAACCTGGTTAGCTGAAATGGTGCACCTATTTACAACATTCTGGCCAGACCTCCACAAAATACTCAAGAGACTATTTACAATCTTACCAGACATTGATCTTGGTATTTAACCATCATTTTACTTTCAAAGGATCCCCTAGAAAGAACATCACCCCCATGACAGCTGAAAGCAATTTTAGAGGCTGAGGTCCCCTCTCCCAGAGCACTTTGCCCGTAGGCTTAGGGACATCTTTTAGGGGTTGATTATAATTGGTATGTGGTTGAGGGTTGGGAGAGGAATTTTATAGGCTCAGGGATCTTATCAAAAAAAGAGGGATAACTGGATGATGGGATAAGAGATTGGTATTTGTGAGTTATTGTTTTTAGACAATTATATTGGTATAGATTCATGAATATTGATACAAAGTTAAATTTATTGAATATTGTACACATGTATACTTCTACCTCTGTTTAAAACATTGTTTATGTATTGATATATATATATATTTACCATATTGCATTGTACATTACTACCTCTGCTCAAGATATTTATACATTGTTTACATTTGAAGGTCATTGTTCTCATTTTACTGCACAGTTGTTCACTGTCTTAGTCTTTAAGTTAATAGGTATTGAGAATTATAAGTCAATAGTCATCTATGTTTGTTATATTTATAATTAGACTAATCAGGTTCTTTAGACACATAGAAATTATATTCAATATAGATAGATAATCTTCAACCTCTTCAAAGAGCTGTAGAAAACCTCATTTAATCTAACTTAGAGTTCCATGGTAGTGAGACACAATTGCTCCTGGCAACACTGATCTATTCCCGAGAGAATGTTGAACACCAAAGACATTCCACCTGGAGCTTGTTGCCTTATTGGCAGAACTGGCCTTTGGGCAAAGAAATGCCCACGCCTTAACCACTGACAAAGATACATAATATCCGTAAATGGATAAAACAGAACTGTCAAATCCTGCCAAGACAGGGTAAGATAGTTTTAAAAAGTTTCTTGCCTTTTAAAATGGTCTGTCAATTACGTTAGGCCTTAGCCAAAGTTGGTTGCTTCAACATTACAAATGAGACTTTGGGTGACTGCCCAGGTAGCCAGTTGTCTCTATTGTTTGTTGCACATTTTGGAAGTTTCTTGATTGTGCTTCCTGTTTATTCAAGTAATATTATTTCCCTTCTCAGATCTTTGATGGAGTTAAAGATTAGATAATTGTAGTTACCCTCCTCATGTTTTAGCCAAGCTTAATTTCAATACAATAGTTAGTTTCCTTAAAATGGAATGTTTAGTAAAACTTTTGTTATGTGTTCCTTGCTTAATATTGTTTACTGTTTGTAATTTTATATTTGGTATCTGTTCCTATTGTATATAGTTGTATTGGGTTTGGATTGATCTTGTTTAGACAAAAGGGAGAGATGATGGGGAAACTCCGTAAACCAATCACATCTAGTTAAGGCCTGGCTACCTGGGGCCCAGAAAGAAAAACTAGGGGGACCCAGATGCGTGCTCTCTCTGCGCGATTCCCGCCAGACACAGAGGAAGTTGGACTCCCTATTCTTGTGGCATGAGTTTCCCATTACAACCATTAAAAATATAATTGTTATTCTTTAGCTGGCCTGGTTATTTACCATATCGAGCTAACTCACTACAACATGGTCCTTACAGAGTTAATTTGAGCCTAGGTTAGATTTTATGCATGTGTTGAGATTCTGCCAGGTTCCTATGGGGACCTGATTTAAACTAAGGTAATTTTAAGGTGCCCAAAACTGTAATCTACATGTTATAGTCTATAAATTTAGGCCTATTAGTTAGTTTAAGCCTCCAGAATGTCTTTCTTCCCTATACTCTATACCATTTTTGTGGCTGAGAAGAATTCAAAGCAGCCACCGAGTAGATCCGCTCCTGTCTTCACCATGTTCAGATCTTGTTTCTCAAGCCCTGGGACCCACTGGCAAGGTAAGACTGTGGAAAAGCCCAAAGTGAATGGCAGCTGCCAAACTCACATGACAGGCAGTGTAAAAGCCTCCTGGGAAACCTGGTTTGATAGATTGAGAGCCCATCTGGATTATCCCTGTTAATGGTGCCCACCACTGGGGCAGGAAATTACAGCAGATGCCTTTGACTAACCTTGTAGACAATTGAGGGGACAGAGGTCACTCCTCCTGCCTCCATCCTTTTAGTCATTGGGACCACAGGTGCACATAAATGCACCCTGCTCATTTTTCTCCTTCTACTTGAAGAACCCACAGGCTCTGCTCACTCCCTAGTGGACAGGGTACCTTGGAGTGAGGAAACTGTCTACTCCTAGGGAAGGTGTCCCTGTCATCACCCAGACCCAGTGAGGATCAAATCCATGGGGAAGTAGACACTTTGAGATGGAGCCTTGACAGCCTGTGGCTACGGACCTGTGCCAATGGCTGGTAGGCAAATAGATGAGTAGTTCCGTTTCTCACATGCTTCCAAAACACAGGAAACTGATCTCTTCACATCATTCCCACCATCAACGTGAATAATACTCTTGCATCTCAGTGATCCACCTTCAGTAACTATGTACTCACTGTTCTGCTGAGCTGTGAAACATGAACAGATTCAGAGTCAGACGCTGACCTGTGCTTGGAGAAAGCAAGATGTCTGATTTCATGAGGAAACATTTATGAATTAAAAGCTTATGAAATACTACACATTGTGAAATTTTTAACTGAATTTTTCTTAACTGTGAGATAACTTTGCACTTTTAACTTTCTTTCATATGGAATTCTTTCATAAAATATATGATCTTAAGATAAATACAGGGGTCTCAAAACAAAGCAAAAACCAAAACAAATTAATACATTGTCCTCCCAGCCCAAGGCCCTTCCTCCATTTCCTCACAGCCCCCCACAGTCAATCTTTCCGTTCCAATCTGGCTGCAAGAAGCAGCATTGTTCCTTACCCAAAACAGAACATTTCTTTTCCACACTTGGTCCTGCACCCTCCAAAATTGCTTTGGAGACTCCTACATGAGAAAATCAAGATGGTGACCTGACCAGAAAGACGTCTTTGTGTCTCAACACACCCCATCATAGAGCAGTAAGGACAGAGGAGACATTTTCAAAACTGTTGCCAGTTGTAAGAAAGGCCATAGAATTAGGTTTATAGATATTAGTTAACAGGAACAAGCTCAAGTCAACAAACTGTTTTGACTATAGAAACACCTCTTTATAGGATCTACCACACTGATTACTTCAGGAGACAGAATCCATCTCAATAAGTACCTGATTTGAGATCAAACGTGTTTGATGTTGAATTGACAATCACATCTGCCGCTTCTTTGGTAATGTCCCCCGTGGCCACTTGGAACAAAATCGGGCCAATATTCATTTCATGCACTCCTAACGTAGGGCTGGAGAGACTCCCATAAAACCCTGCCCAGAGAAAAGAAAAGACAGAATTAAGCCACAAGTCATCAGAAGCAAGAACAGCTGAGGTCGCAGGCTGCTCTATCACTGTATTGGCTGTCTTTTACTGTTGCCCTGGCTCTGGGCTGGAACAGAAGTGTAGCTTGAATTCAGGAGTTTGGGGTCATCCTAGGCAACACTGCAAAACCTTGCTTCATAACAAAGCTCCAGTGAACCCCAAACAAGATGAACTCAAAAACAGAAAGACACATTTGACAGAGAATTGTTGGCTTGTATTGTCTCTTAAGATGTATCTTGGGAAATACACATCACAGTGGAGATGGTAGTCTTGTCAGTAACTCAAAAATCCCACTGTACAGATTATATAATCTGGCCCACCTTTTCTCTTTGCCCCAAGACCCATAAACAGGCCACTGTGCTTTATACTCACATGCATGGAATATCCTTTAATTTCCATTTAATATGTTCCATAGTTTGACTTCTCAGAGAAATGATCACCATCATTCTTTCCCTGTCATTGAACAGTTACTTGGTAACAGTTACTGGTCAACTTAAACACTTTACTGTACCTTGGGTGTCACTTGGATTTCCATGACTCCTTTTGTCAAATTCATCTGAAAATGCCTAGAAATACAAACACAGTGTTAACCATTATACTCCCTATGCAATCAGTGAGTTTGCATCCTTGGGGGTTCTGATTCTGTATGCACACGTGTTGTGATGTATATAGTAAAGCCGTTGTGCCTGGTTTTGAGAGACATGTCTCAGCAAATCCTCGCTAGGTTTGTGTTGATTGGTAGAGGCTGAGAAATTGGGCTGAGACTGTTTAAAGAAATGCCTGAAGAAATGCCGTCTCTCTGGAATCTCTGCACTTGGTGCTCTGTGAGAGCTTGCAGCTGCACTGACCTTCGTCTGAAGACACTTGTGGAATCCTGAGGTTCTTACTTTTGATTATGGTATTCCATAATGTATGGGCTGTCTTCCCTGTCTCAAAAAACTGAGGAAGACACACACACACAAACGCACACACACACACACACACACACACACACAGAGAGAGAGAGAGAGAGAGAGAGAGAGGGGGGGGGGGGGAGGAATGAGAGAGGGAGGGAAAACAACATTTCCAAATAAAGATTGGGAGACTCAAGTCTATGAGACAGGATTCATCTCTATTCATGCAAACATTCATATCACACAAAAATCTCAGCACCTCCACCTCCTGCTCCCTTTGTGTACAGAAACCTAAACGTGTAAAGTAATTCTGATTTCTAGAAGAGAGGGCATGTGCTACAGAAATGCTCACATCACCTTACACCATGATATCTCAGGGAAGCTATTTAAAACTCTTAATAGCTGGGAAAGTGCATACATTCTTACAATCTCAGTATTCTGGAGGCTGATGCAGGAGGATTGCCATGAGTGTGAACAGTCTGAACTAATTAACAATATCCTGTATAAAAATAACCTAAGCAAACAAACAAACCTCACTGTGCTTGCACAGTCCAAGCTGAAGGTGTCAGGAGCTTTGGCTGCCCGATTAGAGTGTAGGTTCCCTTGGTTTGCTTCCATGAATTTATAGGCAATGTCTAGATCTAGATAATGACATAGGACCTAAAAATTCCAACAGCCCCATCCACAGGCATCGTGGGCTGCCACCTTTACTGTGACATTGTGGAAACTGTCCTAACACTGAGGTCATGTGCTCTACTGGATTATAAAGACATGGAGAACAGAAATCAGGCCTTAGAGTCAGACCACATTGCCATAGCTGATGTGATACACTGTGACTGAGGATGATTCTAGTATTTCTGGTCCAAGTTTCCTAAGTCACATGGGGATGTGTTCAAACCACATCCATAACTCATGATTAATTACATTTCCAGAAATAGCAGCTAGAATCACCTGTATCCCATTCTGGAATTCTTGGATTGATAATGCCATAAATGTGCCTTGATATTATGTATTAATATTTTTATATCCATAGAAGAGACAAACCAACAGGCTGAAAAAAATGGGTACTACAATGTGTGAACCTTACTTATCTGACTCTATATTGGATATTACAATGTAATAGCGTTACTTATCTGGTTTTATAATGAGTATTACAATGTGTGAGCCTTACTTACATGATTCTATAATGGCTATTAAAATGTGTGAGCCTTACTTACATGATTCTATAATGGCTATTAAAATGTGTGAGCCTTACTTACATGATTCTATAATGGCTATTACAATGTGTGAGCCTTACTTATCTGACTCTATAATGGGTATTACAATGTGTGAGCCTTACTTATCTGATTCTCATCCAGACATAAGGATGGAGAGATGGAGAGGCATTCATGAGACAGCTGGAACCTCACACATTAACTCTATCATTGACCACATAAAGGAACGACTGCCATTTCAAGGTGTGTTTTAGTAGTAAGATTATGTTAAAAATGAATTGGTGAATTGTTTAGAGACAGAATCATGTGTAAACATTACATGTTAGAAAAAGATCAAACACCTGGCCACAGAGCAATAGCAGTTGAGATTGAATAACAGATAGAACTTCATTGGGTTTGTTTTTGGACTTTTGGGGGTATTTGAAACTTTCTTGGATAAGTAGTTACTATTTTTTCTGTTTATAATTTTTCTTGAAATTTGTCATGGTATGTATAGCTAGTCAGTACTCTCCTATAATGAAACCACATAAAACAAACCTCCTATTAGACCAAGAAGATGCAGAAGAACACAGGTCCCATCCTGCAGGTGACAAAGAGATCAGAAGTCGAGTCTGTACCTGAATGTTTTCCACGTCTTTCGGGTGCAGCAGAAACTGAACTTCCTGTAAAGTTTTCAGGTGGTTCTTGCTACTAAATTTGAGCACTTCTGAAATTATCAACTTAGCAAATTCGGGTTTAGGAAACCCCATAATTCCTGTTCCTATTGCTGGAAATCCAATTGATTGCAGAGACAGTGCCTCGGTGATTCCTAGACAGTCTCTGATGATGTTTTTCATGATCTGAAAAGCACAGAGAACTTCCTTAAATGTCTTCTTTAGAAATGGGGGACCTTAAAAAGTAGGTAGTCAGCAGCTTGTCCTGGGAGCACTGTCCATTCTATTGTGCTTTCAACAAAAGTTAGCAGCAGTGTGACAGGGAAACTTCAGAGAAGAGATGAGAAAGAGAACATGGACACCCTTACAAGAGCACAGACTCACTCCACCATAAGCAAAGAGGGGAAGCCACAGCTGTCCCAGTCTATCACTCTCTCCCAACTTCAAGCCCTTACCTTACCTTTCCTCAATAAATGCAGTATATTCCCCCAACCCTTCCCTGACCATCAGCAATTGCTGAGTATAATAGCTAACTTACGCTTCTAACTATGACCTATATGAACTATGACCTACAAGAAGTCATCTACAACTGAAATGAAATGGCCATTCTATGGAACCTGCCAACTCATGATGCTGTCCCAGAAAAGAAGCAGACCAGGGACTAGCTGTGGTGTGCTGTAGGGGAGTCCAGAGAGCTACCCATGGCCTGGAGAATGTATAGCTGGGTCCTACCTTCAGTGACGATGCAGTGTCATTCACTTTCCACTGTGGAACCACCACGTGAAATACACGGTGGCAGTTCAGGTTACAGCCACTGGTTTGTAGAATTGTGCCTGCCTTCACAGAGACCCGTTTTCCTGCTTTATTCAGTTCTTTCTGGAGTTTTGGCCCGGCCTTTTCCAGTAAGGCCTTAGAAAGAGGTCCTTTGTTGAGCGCAAGATCCGAGGGAATGGAGTTGACAACCACATGGGTCTTAAAGACAAAACCAAAGATTCCTTTCAAATTCTTATCAAAGACATTCATCAACCATGACTACATTTGAGCCACTGGACTTGGCAAAAGGAAGACAGCAGTTGCTTGTACATTTTGTGATTACTGTTCAGAGAAACAAAACCATAAAAGTCAGAGTGGAAACAATTCAAATGTCCATTGGCTGGAAAAAACAAATGTATCTTCATGTAATAGGATATTATGCAGCCACTAAGAGGGATGAAGTACTGATACATGCTACAGTACGGGCAACCCCTCCCTGAAAGAATTCTCATCAGTAAAAGAAACTGGTCACAGAAGACACAAACATATTATTTCATTTATATGAAACCTCAAGAACAGGTAAATCTGTTGAACCAGATGTGGAGACACACGCCTTTAATCCCAGCACTCAGGAGTCAGAAGAAGATGGATCAAAGCCAGCCTGGTCCACACTGCAAGTTCCAGATTAAACAGAGCCGTGTACTAAGACCCTGGTTCAAAAAGAAAATTAAGAAAACAAATAACAACAGAGTAGATTGGATGTTCTCTACAGCTAGGAGGGGCGGGGTGAGCAGGTGCATAAATTAAGAGTAACTGTTAATGAGTATAAAGAATTAGAAAGCACTACAGTTAGATTGCAGGATTGGTTGATTGTGGTTATACACGCACACACACACACACAAACTCATGCTTACACTGCAAGAATTATCCCTATGTGAGCCCCAACTCTAAAACCTTCCATGCTCATTTTTAGTGAATATATTGAACATACTGCTGCGCCCACTTGAAGTGTAAACTGTGAGTTACACAACACTGTTTAAAGACAAAGCCATCAATAGCCAACTGTTAAAATGATGTTTAGCTTTGCTCAGCTTAGCCTGTGGGAACATGCTGCAGCAGCATGCCCAGGTAAAAAGGTCCAATTGTGGGGCTGGGGAGATAGCTCAGTAGGTAAGAGCACTGGATGCTGTTCCAGAGGACCCAGGTTTAATTCCCAGCACCCACATTACAGCTCACAACCTTCTGTAACTCCAGTTTTAGGAGATCTGACACTCTCATATAGACACATGTGGAGGCAAAACACCAATGCACGTGAAATAAAAATATTTTCTTTTAAGTTTCAGTTGTATCACTGCTGGTCACAAGACACCAAGAACTGTTCTTGGTGGATGCTTAGAGATACTTCCTCTTGAAAACAATTCAAAGCAAGACAGGGTCACAGCATCTAGCTCATGTCATCTGTTATCATAGCCAGCACATCCATCCACCTGTTTGTCATTTAAAGCTAATGGGGACAAATGACACCCAGTGGTGATAATTTAGGACTTTGATCTTGATCTTTAAACAAAACTTTCAAGGATTGGTTAAAATTTCACTGTAGGGGCTGGAAAGTTGGTTCAGCAGTTAAGGCCATTTGCTTTTCTTCCAGAGGACCCAAGTTCAATTCCCAGCATCCACTCATTGTGGCTCACAACCACCTGGAGTTCAACAACTTTCTGGATAAATATCACTTACCAAAATTAAATCAAGACCAGGTAAGCAAATTAAACAGACCTGTAACTACTGAAGAAATTGAAACAGTCACCAAAAGTCTCCCAAAGAAAACCCTGGACCAGATGGTTTCAGCTCATAATTCTACAAGATTTTCAAAGAAGAACTAATACCAATAATCCTCAAATTATTCCACACAATAGAAACACAAGGAACACTGTCAAACTTTTTTTATGAGGTTACAATTACCCTGATACCCTAACCACATAAAGAAATTTCTAAGAAAGAGAATTACAGACAAATCTCACTCATGAATATTGATGCAAAAATACTAAATAAAATACTGGCAAACTGAATCCAAGAACATTTCAGAAAAATCATCCACCATGATCTAATTGGCTTCATCCCAGAGACGCAGGGATGGGTCAACATATGAAAATCTGTCAACGTTATCCACCATATAAACAAACTGAAAAATAAAAACCACATTGATCATCTTATTAGATGCTGAAGAAGCTTTTGACAAAATACAGCATCCCTTCATGATAAAGGTCTTGGTGAAAGCAGGGATACAAGGAACATATCTAAACATAATAAAGGCAATATACAGCAAGCCAACAGTTAACATAAAACTAAATGGACAGAAATTTCCACCAATCTCACTGAAATCAGAAACAAGACAAGGTTTTCCACTCTCTCCATATCTATTCAATATAGTTCTTGAGGTCCTAGCTAGAGCAATAAGACAACAAAAGGGGATTAAGGGGATAACAATCAGAAAAGAAGAAGTCAAACTCTCAGTATTTGCAGATGATATGATAGTTTACATAAATGACCCCCAAAATTCTACCAAGGAACTTCTACAACTCATCTACACTTTCAATAATGTAGCAGTATACAAGATTAACTTAAAAAATCAGCAGCCCTCCTGTACGCAGATGATAAATGGGCTAAGAAAGAAATCAGAGAAACATCACACTTCACAATAGCAACAAATATCATAAAATATCTCGGAGTAACTCTAACCAAACAAGTGGAAGACTTTTATGACAAGAACTTTAAATCTTTGAAGAAATAAATTGAAGAAGACACCGGAAAATGGAAAGATCTCCCATGCTCTTAGGCAGAATTAACATAGTAAAAAGGCTGAAACACACTTATGGAACTGCTCAACATCTTTAGTCATCAGAGAAATGCAATTCAAAACAACTCTGAGACCTGTTAGAACAACTCTTACACCTGTAAGAATGGCCAAGATCAAAGACACTGACGACAACTTATGCTGCAGAGGTTGTGGGGTAAAGGGATCACTCCTGCATTGCTGGTGGGAGTGCAAGCTGGTACAACCCCTTTGGATATCAATGTGGCAATTTCTCAGAAAATTAGGAAACAACCTTCCTCAAGATCCAGCAATACCACTTTTGGGTATATATCCAAAGGATGCTCAATCGTGCCACAAGGACATGTGCTCAACTATGTTTATAGCAGCATTGTTTGTCATTGCAGAACCTGGAAACAACTTAACTGCCCCTCAACCAAAGAATGGATAAGGAAAAGGTGGTGCATTAACACAATGGAGTACTACACAGCAGAAAAATATAACGACATCTTGAATTTTGTAGGAAATGGATGGAGCTAGAAAATATCATTTTGGGTGAGGTAACCCAGACCCAGAAAAACAATTATCACATGTGCTTACTCATAAGTGGGTTTTAAATGTAAAGCAAAGAAAACCATCCCACAATTATGATCCCAGAGAACCTAGACCAAAAAAAAAGATGCTAAGAAACACATACATAGATCTAATCTACATGGGGTGTAGAAAATACAAGATCTCCTGAGTAAATTAGGAGCATGGATACCTTGGGAGAGGGTTGAAGGTGAAGGGAGAGGCAGGGAGGGGAGCAGAGAAAAATGTAGAGTTCAATAAAAATCAATATAAAAAACAAGATATTATATAATTCAGGCTGGCCTCGAATTCACTCTGTAGCCAAGGATAGCCTTGAATTTGAATTTCTGATCCTCCTCCATCCATCTCCCTAGTGCTGTTTTTACAGACCTGTGCCTCCACCCATGTTTATGCAGTGCTAAAGGACTGAATCCAGGACTTCATGCCTGTTAGGCAAA